CACACATGCGGTACACATAAATACATTCCCGGACACATAAATAAAACAAGTCTTGGGGACACTTAGGGGTATGGTGGTACATGCCTGTCACCCCAGCTCCTGGGAGGTAGAAGCAGGAGACTCAGAAGTTCAACGTTATTGTCAATTACTTGGGGGGACCAAGGTCAGCCTGGCCTAAACAAGACCCTGTCTCAAAGCACAAATAAATAAGGGTTGGAGAGATGGCTCAGCGGTTAAAAGCACTGGCTACTCTTGCAGAGGACCTGAGTTTGATTCCTAGCACCTATTTAGTGGCTTATGACTATCTGTTAGCTCCAGTCCCAGGGCATTTGACACCTTCTGGCCAGTGAGGGTACTTCATGCGCATGGTGCAAAATCATACAGGCAGGCCAAACCTATACACATCAAGTAAATCTTTGAGGAATTTAAATACATGCATAAAAATTGAAAAAAAAACCTGATTAGTATTCAGGAGACCCAGGATTCCATCCCAGCATCTCATGAATTGGACATGGTGGTACACCTCCATAATCCCAGAACTCTGGACAGAGGCAAGAGCATCAAAAGTTTAAGGTCACCCCCTCTGCTTCATAGTGGATTCTAGTCTAGCTTGGGCTGGGTGAGACCCTGCTTCAAAAGAAGGAAGGAAGGAAGAAGGAAGGAAAGGCTGCAGACATAATACCATGGATTTTGGGTGAAGGTTCTCGGTGAGCAAACAAAGACCTGAGTCCTGAGCCCCAGAATCCACATAAAAGCCAGATGTTACCTCAGACCTCTTCTTATCCCAGCACTGGGGTGAAAGGGCACAAAGCCTGGGGATTGGTAAAGGAGGACACGTGCCTTCGTCTGGTGGGCGCACACACTCATACGTACGTGCATAAAACACATGCAAAAATAACAGCAATAGCCGGGCGTTGGTGGCGCGTGCCTTTAATCCCAGCACTCGGGAGACAGAGGCAGACGGATCTCTGTGAGTTGGAGGCCAGCCTGGTCTCCAGAGTGAGTGCCAGGACAGGCTCCAAAGCTACACAGAGAAACCATGTGTCGAAAAAAACAAAAAGTAAAATAAAATAAATAACAGCAATAGGAACCCCTGGGCACTGGGTAACAACAGTGAGCCAACTAGATGATGGCACTCTTGTGGTCGATGCCTGGCATTGTGGGCAGGCAGCATTTTCAGAAATGCAATCGTTGGCTTGCCAGGTGTGGTAGCATATACCTGTACTCCAGCATGTGGGGGCTGAGGCAGGAGGATTATTAAGGCTCATTTGGGCTACTTAGGGAGACCATATTTGGGCTACTTAGGGAAACCATTGGTATTTTCAAAATAGTTTCTCGATGTAGCTCTGGCTGTCCTGGAACTCAATAACAGGCTGGCCTTGAAATCACAGAGATCACTGGGCTTTGGTGGCGCATGCCTCTGATCCCAGCACTCGGGAGGCAGAGGCAGGCGGATCTCTGAGTTCGAGGCCAGCCTGGTCTACAAGAGCAAGTTCCAGGATAAGCTCCAAAGCTACACAGAGAAACCCTGTCTCACAAACAAACAAACAAACAAGCAAACAAACAGAAATCACAGAGATCTGCCTGCATCTGCCTCCTGAGTGCTGGGATTAAAGGCATGTGCCATGGCTAGAGACCCTATTTTAGAAGGTCAAAATAAAGTAAGGCCATATAATGTGATGTGAGCCAGTCTGCGAGTACAAGTATGCACCACCATGCTGGGTGTATGCTCTGTTGGGGAGGGGACCCAGGGCTCCATGCATCCTAGATGGGCACACTACCAGCTAAGCCACATCCACTCAAGTTGTTTTATTTTTTTCTGCTTTTGTTTTTTGTTTGCTTGTTTTCAACTCAGGGTCTCACTATGTAGCTTTGGCAGACCTGGAGTTTGCTATTCAGATCAGGCTGGGCTTCAAACCCATAGAGATCTGCCTGCCTCGGTCTCCCTAGTGTTGGAAAATATAGGCATGCACCACTATGACAGGATAAATTATTGGAGTAACCTGCTGCAGCCTCTGTGTAGTCATTTGCTAAGAGACAGTCTGGGAGGGAGCCAAAAGAACCAGAGGACCAGGCTCAGCTCGAACCAAGGGACTGCACGCGCG